CGATGGCTCGATGCAGCCAGCACGCTCTTGCGGAATTCGTCCACAAAAGCTCTGCGCTACTCAGAAAGCTCTCCTCCCCTGCGCGGTCGCTGCTCGGCCCAAGCTGGACTCCACTCAGATTTGGTAAGCAGAAGAGAAACACTCCTCACTGCTCGGTTCAGACCGCTGAATTTCGTTCGGTCATCATCGGGAGCAGCAGCATGGCCGCGACGAGGCTGAAGAGACCTGCGTGCAGCTGATGCTACATCATAGGCGTCTGTCGCACGTCGCCCAAATTGGCCAGGAGGCCCCCAAGATGGCCCCAAGATAGCCCCCCAAGATGCACCAGCCTGGCGGTCCGTCGGCGTTGGGCGCAGCCAGTCAGAGGTACTCGATGAAATTCAGCTATCCTCCTCCTCCTCGAACGACTCGGACGCTTCAAATCAATAGGTCTGCCAAGATCGATCAATGCGACAAAAACCTGACCAACGCAGAACCACCGTGCAATGGGCGAGCGAGCGCCTGTCACACTCCACGCTGCCGCTAAGCCGAGCCCTGTCATCATCATTACATGCCTCATCATGAACTCAGTTCGAGGCAATAAACTTTGAAATCACGAGGACGGTCGCTGCTCAGTGAAATCTCATGTGGTTGATTCGTACATCTTCACTCCAATCAGCTCGGTTGGGACGAGTGGTATCATCCTCCAGCGACCAGTGCATCGAGCCCACACGGCAGCCCAAAGGCCAAGAACCGACGCTGCTTCGAGGAAGAGGGATAAGAGAGCAATCCGCAGGGCGTGCCCGCGGAGTGTGGCAGAGTGCGGTCCCGCTGACATCCTGTGGCAAAGGTGACTGACGCCCGCGGGTACACAGAACACCCGGGGCGCATCGAGACCTGCCAAGCCGCTGTAGCAGCGCACCGTGACCCTCAAGGGCGCTAGGACTGCCCCCCCGACGGACAGTGAACGCACTGCGGGAAAGAAGGGGAGGTGGATAAGGAGGAGAAGGAAGAGGAAGAGAAGACAAGAGCGGCACCGTTCCCGGGCCCCCGGGGGGTCCCTGGACGGCCGTGGCGCCTCCCTTGGGCCCTCCAAGGCTTCCATGACGGCCCAGGAGGTCCCCAAGACGGCCCGAGGGAGAGTGAACGCACCCGGGAAGGAAGGGGAGGTGGACAAGGAGTAAGAGAAGACAAGAGCGGCACCTGGATGATTCCAAAGATCCGCTTTCGTGTCTACAGCACGTTTAGGCGTGGAATAATGCCACGGGTTGCCCGGCAGGTTTCTGTAGTTTTCTACGAGACACCCCACTCTTCGTTCAGCAAACACGCGATTGCACTACCCCTGCTCCCGGGCTCCCGGGGGATCCCTGGGG